TAAGGCACATCACCCACTCTCCGTTGGTTGATGTGGGATCTCACACAAGCTTTCTTATGTTCTTCCATCATCGTATTAATGTCGTTAACTTCTTCCTTAAGGAGTCCTCAACTCATGCATTGATGGAGGCTTAAATCCTATACTATATGCAGCAATCCCTTCCACCATAGGTAGCCAAAATGGGTCATTTACAATATTAAACGGGAGTGCTCTAGAGAAGAAAAAACGACCAATCTTTCGACAAACTTCTTTTCTTTCTTCTTGTTTGTATGCTGAATTTAATTTACTTTGCCGAGCTTCTAAAGTGACAAATCTATCCATTGGTCCTTTTGATTTAGGTTGTGGTCCAAGAGCCTCATCAACTGCAGCACTCCTAGTATCAGGGATTCCATATTCTTCATCCAATGAAGTTTCCATACTCTGAGCCCCTCCTCCTGGACCATCCCCAATCTCTCTAAGCATTTCATTTTTCTTTCTTTTTTCAAGTTGCAAATTTTTCAAAGTTGCAGCACACTCTTTTTGCACATGCTCAGTACTTTCTTACATGGTTGCATACCATGATGAGTTTGACCCAAATGATGCTTAAGTCTAGAAATTCCTCCACTGCATCTTTGATCACAAAATGCGCATCTCAAGTATTTTTCCCCCCTCTATTTCTTTTGCATACTTCCACGTAGGATCTTTTCGATTCATAACTATAAAACAACACTATTAATATTTCTAAGATACAAGTATGATGCATGTACGTCAAATTTCTACTATATCACATAAACGAATAAGATAACTAATATATTTTTAAAAAAAATTGAAAAAAAATTATACGAAACTTCAAATTACAGTTGCGAAGAATTAGAGAGAAAAATAAAATAACTTACTTGCAGTCGAAAGATGAAGAGAATTCTTGAAATTAATGGAGATTATATGATAATGTTAGGAATTAGGGTTGTACAACATATATATAATTCCATGTGTTAATATATTAATTTAAAAAAATTTTAAAAAAAAAAAAAAAAAAAAAAAAGGGTAAGTAGAAAAGCTACGGCTGGAGATAGAAAAGGCAAGAATTAATCTTGCCTTAAGTTTAATACAATAAGGGCATGTTTGGTAGGGCTCACTAGATAGGACTGTCCTATATTGTACCTGAAACCCATGTTTGGTTTGAAAAGGGACTAATTTAAATGGGATTGTAGAGCCCAACAGTAAACAAAAAGCCTCACTAGCTCTTCCAATTTAGTGAGCCTCAAAATCGGTTCGCAAAATAGCGATGTCGCTAAACAGAGAACGCGAGTCCGACAATAACCAGCTTCTTCTTCTTCACCTAGAACTATAACCACCACAGACCCAGCCAAACCACCAGAATCACCACAGACCATCGTCAAACCCAGTCACTCGAACCAACCACCATCAATTCAAACCCAATCACTCGAATCAACCACCACCAATTCAAACCCACTGGAACCACAACCCAATTGAACCCAAATTCAACAACCACTGTCAAACCCAATTGAACCTTCCAAGAAATCATCCACCATGATCAAGAAAACTGCAAGGGAGACACCATTAACGGAGATGTGGGCTTTCTTGTATGAGACTCAGAGAAGGAAGTCATGAATTCCCAGTCTTGAAGTGGTTTGACAAAAATTCTAAAAA